ATCCCAACACTGCTTTTTACCAACTTTTTCTGGCTAAATTCAGAGATCCTTTTAAAGTATCTCAATAGCATTATACTTTTAGAAATAGAAAACAAAAACCTGGTAAAACTGTTGATGCATATAACTCTGCTCTAGATAAGCTATAGCGTAGAATAGATCCAGATGGTCTTTATTCTGAGGTTGATAAAATAAGACAATTTATTGATGGTCTTCGACAAGAATTTCAAATACCTGTATAGTCTGAAAGTCCTATTACTTTAGCTAATGCAGTTAAAAGAGCTAAAGCTATAGAAGTGGCATATTCCAAAGGAAGTATACTCTCTGCTTATTCATTACTACCAACTTCACTTTAGCCACAGTTCTTTGGTGGATATATTACTCCAATGCAAGTAGCTGCTTTAACCCAAGTACAAGAAAATAAGAGAACTTATGAACTTTTAGAAACTATAAATTGTTTAAATAGAAATATACAAAGTATTGCCCAGAATCAACAATCGCAATACTGCAATTATAACAATAACAATTATAATAACAATTCCAATAATAACAACAACTATAGATCACCTCAACAAAATAACAATAACAATAATGGATGCCATAAATGTAGTCAAGTTGGTTATTATGCTTCTAAATGTACTGCCCCTTATTGTACAATTTGTCAACAAATTAGATATAGTGCACGTAACTATAGAATGAATCAAAATAGAAGGCCCAATAACAACAATTGGAACAATAATTACAACAATTATAACAATAACAATTGCAATAACAACAATAATTGGAACAACAACAATAACAATTGGAATAATAATAATCGTAATAACAATAATAACAATGGGAATAATAATCGAAACAATAACAATAATAATTGGAATAATAATCGCAATAACAATAACAACAACTGGAACAACAATAACAATCGTCAAAATAATAATAACAATAATAATTATAATAACAATAACAATAATAACCCTCCTCCAAATAACAATAATAACAACAACAATAATAATAATAACAATAACAACAATAACAACAACAACAACAATAACCAGCGTCAACATTTAAACTAGAATTGGTATCTCCTGAGAGTGAGCATACCACCAATACAAACCCTTCATCTAATAAAGAAGTAGATCTTATTAATTTGTGAGATGAAATTGATGATAAACTTAACTTGGAAGATAATAAAATTAATGAACAATTAAATGATCCCTGGATAGATTTTAAAGATATTGTTAAAATACTTGAATTAAACTCTGGAGAAATTAACCTTGATATAGATGATAATATTCAAACAAATCAAGTAAAAGATGCTTTATTTACAACTGCTGAAGTTTTGAGAATAACTATTAATGTTCTAATTAATACTGGCTCTAAAGGATGTGTTGTTGCTAAATATTTCTTTAATTGAGTGAATCATAGTATTGATGGACCAAGTAATGTTCGAGTTGTCGACATTACTAGTAACAAATCAACGCCTCTAAAACAAGTCAAAAATGTTTCTGTCTTACTTGGTGCTAAACTTGTATATATAGATATGTTGGTAACTGAGTCAAAAGAATATAATGTAGTTCTTGGCAATGAATATTTGAATAAAGTTCAAGCTACTATTAATTATTATAGTGAAGTTATGAGTATTGGAGTTGCTAATCAAATTAAACATATTCCAATATCTTGCAAACAACGAATAGAGGATCCTAATACTATATATCCTATAACTTTTAAAAATATTTACTTTAATCAAGAATTAGAGTTGGAATTAGAGGAAGAAGATATAACTGAACCAACGTATACTACTATTCAAGTTGGTAACAATTTTATACAACTGGAGAACCAACTTATAGCCAATATCAAAATAGAGAATATTAATAATCCTCTTCAATATCAACCAAATGATATATTTAGACTTATACAACCAGAAATGAAGGAAATAAAAGAAAGTCAAGAGGAAAATCAAAAAATATCTATCCCTATTACAGAAGATAAATCAACTTTTATTGGCAATACTCTTGATAACCAACAACAACAAACTATAACTCAATTACTTTTGGATAATGCTGATATATTTGCTATTGAATTTTCTGAACTATGTAAAACCAATATTGTATATCATACTATTTATACTGGCGATTCCTACTCTATTAAACAACGAGTTTATAGAGCATTACCTATAGAACAAGAACATATTGAAAAAGAAATTGAACAAATGAAAAAAGATGAGATAATTCGAAAATCCGAAAGCCCTTGGAGCTCTCCTGTTGTTCTTGTCAAAAAGAAAAATAAAAAACTAAGATTCGAAACAGACTTTAGAAAATTAAACTTCAAATACAAAAAAAAAAAAAAAAAAACTTTTATTTAGATGAAAATACCAAAAATAACAATAGATTATTATTTTATTTTATCATTATTTAAAATATTTTATTCAATAATTTTATTAAATATAATATTTTAAAAATTTATTAAAAAGAGTAAAATTGATGCAAAAAACAATAATGAAAAGAGCGATCACCTCCTTCCAAGTAAAACCCTGACTATTTTCCAACTCCTCAATCCTACTCTGCAATACCCAATTCTCCATCCACAGTACTTGATTCTCCAATGCCAAATTCGAGACCTGGACTATTAAACTATTTTGCTCCAGCCGCATTTGCCCAAGCCGCAAGTTGAAGTCGTATTCTCGATGTGCAACCTCATTAGAGTCAAACTCTTGCAACCGAGCTTGCAAGTTATCGACTTGGTTCGTAAGACGTTGGATTATAGCTAAAACGAATTGATTTCGAGAGGTTCGAAACATCTAAAAAACTGACAAGCTAAAGTTATTAGAAAAAGAATACTTTTTCCAAGTGATATACTTAAAAAATGAGAGTAAAAGAAAGAGAGAAAAAGAGGAAATGACAAAGGGAAAACTATCCACCGAGGCCTGTGTTCAATCATAACAAGTATGAAGGCACCAGCTCACTCAGACGTGGAAGACCGGCGGTTGCCTCGAAAGGTTTAGCTCACGGTCCGAAGAGTATACACACCTTCAAGCGGCAAGACAGGCAAAACAAAAAGAAGTTTTCTACAAGATTTTTAACTAAAAAGAAAAGAAGAAAAAGTATTAGACAAGAAAGTTTTAATAAAAAAGAAATTTTTAGAGAAGAAAACATGGAAGTAAAAAAGTACCAGGAGGAAAAGAACTAGAAGACGGAGGAAAATTCAGGATATAAATAGAGTTGACTAATAGACACATTTTCCCATAAAAAAAAAAAAATTTTTTTTTTTTTTTCTTCGCACGGTGTTAACAAAGAAAATCACAAACAAAAATGATGTGATTAACAAACTTGAAAACCAAAGAACAATTTAGAATACGAAAACTAAACACAACAACAATGTGAATTTTCCCATGCCAAGAAAAAAATTGTCGCATGGTATTAACAAAAAAAATCACAAACAACAATGATGTGATTTACTAATTTTAGGAAAAGATGAACAATTCCGAAAGCAAAAGCTAATTTTAATACAAAAACTGGTTAAAGTTTGAAGATCGAGCAAAAGAAGAATTACAAATTTCGTAAAAACACATGCAAATATGGGAATTTTGACAAAAAGATCATGGTACAACCACAGTAGTAACACTATTTATGATAAAATAATCGTGACATCTGCAAAAATGTACATGAAAAAAGGGTTTGGCACTCTTTATGGGACATTCGGAAGAATCTTTTCTCTATATTAAAATATTTCGTGCATATTTATACTTTTATATAATCAGGATCATAGGTAAAAATGTGCGGAAGCTTCATTTATGATATTAAATTTACAAAAATTATAAAAATGAAGATACCCTGGTACCGAATAAAGCCAATATGTGAAAATAAATTAATTCTAATATACCAATATGTGAAAATAAATTAATTCTTATATACCAATATGTGAAAATAAATTAATTCTAATATACCAATATGTAACATTTTTTTTAGTGTGTAAATTGTAACCAACCTTGGTTTTATTGAGAACGTCGTGATGCTCATTAATATTATTTTTGTTACGAAGGTAAGTAATACATCTGGGTTTGAGCATTACTATCGACGATCATGATTTATGAGTTATGGCCAGAAAGTCTTTCCCAACTTCGATGGCTCCGTACTCCATTTCGCCGAACAGTACGATTAAGAGGTCCCTCCCCAACTGGTTCAAACTGACCACCAGGAACTAAGGCTTGATAAGAAGGTGGGACGAAAAAAGCGTTCGGGTGTTGAGTTCTGACAGCATCACGAGCATTTAAAATTTCTTCTAAATCTCTAGAAATCACCAACTGGCTGATTATGACTTGCTTTTGGTTGAATTACTGTATTTTTTTTTTTGTTTGACAGTAAAAAGAGTGCAAGATTAAGCAATTTAGGAATAAGAGAAACTATTCGAAATAGCTCTCGTTCGGTAAGACGATCTAAGGTGAAGTGAAAATTTGGTATTATTAATATATTGACAGTGACTATAAAAAAGCTAAGCTATAGAACAAATCGCACTTTTATATTTAAACTTTTCGTATAATTCTAAATTTATTTATCACATAATTCTAAATAATCCTGGACACCCTAGTATATATAATTTAAGCCACGTGGTTTTGATCAGCTGGCTGAGCTAAGTGGCTGGCTAGCTAACGGGGCTAAAAATGACACGTATAAAGTAAATTTTTTTTTTTTAAACTAGGTTTTGCGTTTCGTCAGCGCGTGCGAAACCTCGAGATTTCGTCTAACAACTATAGTTCCTAATTAAACTAACTCGGTTAGTTAAAGAATTCCAATTTCACTTAATAAATGAATTTAATATTAGCTTAAAATTTATCAACAAAAATAATTATATAAAATAAACAAGAATGACGTCTGCGAATTTTTTTAAAATGACCTGAGTTACAAGAATTTATTTTTATCTCGCAATGTATTTGAAAATTTCTCGATAGTAAATCTGTTAATCAACGCCGTAAAACATTTATTTTATTATACGAGAAGATTATAATTTTTATATTAAAGTTGGAATCATTAGACCAAGAATATTCTGCTTATGAAAATCTTAGAATATTGACAGTCTAATTTGCTAGTAAGTTCTGTCGACAGAATATATGTTACATCAAGGTGTTTTAAAATATATTTGGTTTGTTTTTTTTCAAAACTATGAGATACTGTATGCAAGGTTGGCAATGGATACGCTCCATTGAGAAAATTACCAATGGAGTGAATGGAGCCCAATGGAGCCAATGGAGTGAATGGAGCCCAATGGAGCCAATCATACTAATGGAGAACCTAATGGAGCCAACAGAGAACTCAGTGGAGCTAATGGCTCAAATATAAAGCCGATGAAGAATAGGATTCTAACCTCTAGCCTCATGTACTGATAACTCGGCCTGTTGATAAACAGGTCAAACGGATCAATGTCAATAGAGTTGGTCGGCTTCCATTGGCTCTATTCAGAAATTATTCTCAATGGAGCAATGTTAATGGAGTTGTTCTCCATTCATCCCAATGGATAAATGTGCCAACCCTGCACTAACCCTATCCTAAGCGCTAACTCTAACCATAACCTATATACTCACCTAAACCCTAACCTAATTTAGATGAACTTATTTTTCGTTGTCGGGATTTGCCGGGATTTTTACTATCGGGATTCTTTTTGTTTGGATTTTTTTTGTATTTTCTCTGAAAAATATAATTGGTTGCTTATACGGCCGATCGTCAGTTATACTTGTAAGTTTCTGCATATACCAATTTATCCAAGATACGCATATTAATACTTATACAAAAACGGCTGATAGTTGAATAAGTAATTAAATAGAATGAGTATATTTATTATGTAGAATAGCTGAGGATGTTTGAACTTCTTTATTTGAAATAATGCAAAGAAATGTAAAGAGTTCTTTTACTGCTATTTTAAGAACATGCCTGTAATTCTCGGTTAATATCAATCGACATATTGCTTTGTCCTATTTTAAGTGTCGAATTCTGACCTAATGTTGTCTTTTTGATTCTTTGTGTATTCAAGACAAAGCCCCTTTTCCCGTAAGACAAATAAAATAGAATGATGAAAAGCTTTACATTAATTAGAGATATAAATTGCTAATTACCGGAGTTAAAGTTGTACTCTCTAAGCATTAATTCGACTGTTCACACGCCCAACTCAATAGTAACAAAAAAGCGACAAATTCTTTATCGGTTGTTATTGTCTTTATCTTGTTTCACATTCTCAAAAATAGTAACTTCATAGTGTGAATGAGATCCTTAATTAAGAGATTTTGAAGCTGTTAGGATGTTTATTGGAAACATTTATTTAATTTTTTATCCTTGTTTAGAGAAATAACGATTTTATTCAAAATAAAGAGAGTTATTTGTATGCATGCGACCAATACAAAAACTTCAGCCTTAAACCTTTATTGATACACACAGATAACACAATTTGTTTAAACCGAACTTTTTCGGGCGTTCTCAATCGAAAATTCGGTCCTTTCCCTGAGTTGTTCATTGTCTGAACATTGCTAGTGGAGTCTCTTCGATAGCTCATGATCTATCTCATGATGCACAAAAGATAATTGATCGTTATAGAAATAAGTGATACAACAAAAGGGGCAGTTAAAGTAAAGCGTTGCTCAATTTCTCGAAGTATGACTTTATACCGTAATACCGGTAACTTTATTTTCTGACAATAGATATCAAAATTATGTCGTGTCAATAAAATGGATTTTCAGTATTATGGATTCGGTGAAATGTTGTTTCATTAACATATTGATGTTAATGTTTTTATTTATTTCAAAAGAAGTAACATAAAAACCTTATTTTTATTTAAAGCATATACTTATTTATATAATTGTTTGTCGGTAGATGTTTATCAAAGAAGCTAATTTTCACCGGCTAAAATACACTTATTTTCGAGATAAATTTATTCTGAAATTCTCAGTGCCTAAAATTCAAATGTACGGATTTTTCTAATTTTAGGCACTTCTTGTAACGATTACGTACATAAATGAGTTTAAATGAATGGGAAATCTTCAAATATTCACGTTTCATTTCCCATTTCCCATTTCATTTTCTCATTTTACTGTTCATAGTCACATTCGATTTTTAGGCTTCTACTTAGTCTCGAAGTCCGTTAACTTTGAATGCCTAAGATTCTATCTTTAATTTAAATTAATTGAAATGTTGAACATACTTGAAACGCTTTAATGCATTTATTTTAGTAATAATGAATGGACAAAGAAAATATTAAGGGTTGTATAATCTAAAAATTTATTTTTCTTAGTAATCCCTAATTCTTAATTATCAATTTAATTGAACTACTTATTAAAAAAATTGGCAAAAAAAAGAATGTGTAACTATACGTTTATTTGTATATTCGTGTAAATTTGATTGCTTTCGATTAGTTCTTGTATGTTAAACAATTGATTTAATAACATGACAGCTATGAGTACAACGTACAGTATATGTTATTTATGTGACATACAATATGCACGTGCCTGCGTACAATGGGGTTAGATGAATTTAAAGACGAAATCATGATTTAAATTGATTATTATGAATTAAATATAATTTACAAATGATTTAAATCATTTGATTTTTATTGTCCAAAGCGTAGCGGGGACCTACATGTACATGTAAAAGTTGAAAAATGTCCGTCTTTCGGCACGTGCCTTCATTGTGATTGGCTGTTGCTTTCCATACTAGACCTTTGACTTGAAATTAGGGTTTTTATTATGTCGGTATAATAGAAATGGTAGTACAATACCAGGAATAATACGGTATGATACAGTATGGCCAATATTTTGCTTCTATATAGTTTAATATGGTTCGGAATCTTTCGGAAATTTCTAAAAATTACATGTTTAAATCGGAAATCTTCGTGGCCTCAAATAAAACGGTTTAATTGGCTAAATTGTTTTTAATTATGGTATTATACCTATACTATCTGTGTATAATACTGGTATTATACGGTATTATACCAATTGTATAATGCGATATAAAAAATCTTAAAAGTCCTACTTGAAGTGTCCAAAGCGTAGCGAGAACTTGTTAAAGTTGAAAAATGCCGTCTGTCCGCCACGTGATACTATTCTTATTGACCGATAATTAATTAATATTAATAACAGTAATAGTATATTAGGCTTCGGACTCAACAGTTCCTGTTAACCTAGTAATGTACAAGTATTGTTTAAATTAAAACTCGTACTTTGTGATCGTAGATTGTAATCTTCCTAAAAGTTCTAGTTTTTAGACGGGCTTGTAAGTTTATAAAAACCAAATAACACGTGAATACTATATATAAAAAATGAAACGAAAAGCCAACTTCAAGGACCGCATTCTTTTCGGATTTATTATTTACTCGTTTTAAATATAAAAATAAGAAAGTACTTGTATTATTAGACTATAGTACTTTATGTCTCGTGAACGTGAACGTGGTTTCTTTTTAAGAAACCCTGAAAACGGGTATGTCGATCACTCAAATTTCATAGTAAAAAATCTACTGTACTCTTGTGATCTGCGTGTTAAAACGGTAATGGGAAAATTGGGTAATGCGATCTAATCATAAATGGCTAATCAATTATTGGAAATTATGATTATCTTGGATGCAATTTTTTTGAAAAATATATTTCTATCTTCTAAATACATTTATTACGTAATAAAAGATTTAAATCAGCTTTAAATTGATTTAAATAAAAAATCAGTGATTTATAACGTTGTGATTTAAATCATGTGACATCCCTAATTCGAACACTACTATAAATTTGGAAAACGTGATCGACCTATCATAGATTCGAATTATTATAATTTGCGAAGTCCTCGGCTTTATATGATTCGCAAAAAAAAGGTCATCGTTCTGGATAGATTCACATATATATCAGATATAGAATTTTAAAAGTTATTACCGTATTTTCCGAAAATAAGCACCTTGGCCCGCACTACCCAAATTTTGGCCTGAACTGTCTTGGCCGTTATTATGTGCAAAAAAAGGTGCTTATTTTTGAAGTTGATTCGAATTATTATTAAATCAGGCACAGGTTCGAAATATCTTGAATAGAAAATCAACGAACGTAAAATCCGAGCAAGATTAGGACAAAAGTCGGTGCAAAGCTCCGAAATAATCCGAACAAGAAATTATTCGCATTATTGGTAATTTCTTAAAGGTGTCTGATTCGCTTAATTATAAAAAAGGCTTAATTCGCAAAAAATATAGATGAAATTTTTATGGCAGGATTTATAATAGATTTCCCACTCCTAGAATATATAAATGGTTGAATGCTTTGATCAATTGAGTTAATGATTAAATTTTGAAAAGTCAAAAAAAAAATAGAATGTCTTACTTAACATTAATTATAACTTAATGGTAATATTTAATTACTTAATCCAGTGCCTTATTAGTTTATTTGGTTAATTGTAACATAATCTTAACATTAATCTTAACATTAATCTTAACATTAATCTTGATACTAGTTTCGAAAATATTTTTAAATTCATAGATATTTTGTTATTCGAACACTATAAGCTATTGATAGTTTGCTTTTATAGTTGAGTCAAAAAATATTCAAATGCAAAACATTTATCCTCGCAACTTTTTAGATTTAATGTGAATCCTTTGAAACAATTCAAACAGAAATAAATTTAAATCTTTTCAACACAGATACTTTATGACAAACTAGCATAAATAAACAACCTGAGTAGCTCTAGGAAGTTTATGCAATCTCAAGAATTTCAAAATCACAGGACCTCTTGCAGTATTGGTGACACATTTCATAATCGATAAGCTTTTTTTTTTTTTTTTTTAAAAAAAAAAAAACCCAAGATAAAAATTAACTGGGGACGTCAAATGACGCGATTTATAATCGATAAGTTAGTAATACATTGTATTAGTAAGGTCACCTACGTTGTAAACACAATATTTGGAAATTTGAATGATAACGGTTATAACTAGTGATACTGGCTGGCCCTGGCCCAACGGCCGGGCCGGTCGATAAAAGAAGAGCTAGAATCGATTCTCTTATACTGGCTATAAAAATCAGCTAATCATTAATAAAAATGTAGACATTTATTAGTTGGCTAATTTAGGTGATAAATTAGTAAACAACTGTAATATAGGAAATGGAAATGTCTGACATGTCAGGTGCAGAGACAATTAATCAACATAAAATACCAACGTATTGATTATAATTAAAGACAAAAAGAATAAAACCCAAATTATTTTAGTATACTAGAATTTGGCAAGGAACTACCTGATGGCTTTCTACACGTTTGATATAGATATTGAGACTAATTCTTATTAGAAAATTTTATATTAGCAATAAAGCTCGGCCCGGTCGACCGGCCCGAGCCTTTTTTGGATCGACCCCGGCCATGACTTTTTCATCGACCCGTATCACTAATTATAACAAGAAATTATGATTTTTTAATACGTTCGGTGAGTATTCAGAAATTGCTAGACAATATAAAGAAATATACAAGTACGTAGTTAATCACTAATCTGATCATTGACTTTAACTAATAAATTTAAAGTTACGTGCGTACGCATGTACGCCAAATCTTAAAGTGATACAATTCACTTTCTTAAATAAAATACTTAACTCTTTACCTTCCTAAATAAGACACTTTATAAAATGCAAGCCCAAATACTGATTCAAATTTAAGCTTAAACTTTATGATGCAAATTGTCATATTGTTTCTAATTGAAGAACGGTTGGGCCTATACAAGATGCATTTAAGAAGTTAGAACTGCACAATACTTATGTAATGAATAGGGCTATAAATCTATTGCATATTCATACAATTAACTTTAGTCGCAATTTAGAATTTTGGCAAATTGTTCTCACAGGTCGTGCATATGATATGACCTTTTCAAGACATGACGCCAAATTAATCAATATATGTGTCAATAGATGTGAGCCGTAATTCAAAAAGGAAGTTTTAAAAAATAAAACCTTATTAGTGTTATC